CACAATAAGGTCATATAAGTGCCGAAGAATAGATTATGTGTTACAAGAGAGTAACATACACAAAAAAAGAAGGAGGAGAGATAAGGACGACAGAATAATGCTTGATAGGAAAAAAGAAGCAAACCACACCAGAGCACCCGCCAACCACCCACATCAATCTGACCCCAGGTTGCCACTGACAGATAGGATCGAAACCCGCTCTTTAAACTGTCTAATTTCTGTTAATGGTGGCCTTAAAAACACTTACATTTCAAAGAAAAAAGTCTCTAGAGTTGAAGCTGCTCAGCTGCTGTTTGCCACTGCTGGTCTCACATGCTCTTGTAGAGATTTGGCTCTATGAACTATCCTCCTTTGGTAGGGTCAATGTTTGAAATTTGTTTGTGAGCGCTTCATGCTTTGGGCAAGCTGACAACATTTCTGAATGTGGTGAGTTTATTTGGAGGGCAGGATGACAAGAGGACAGGAGGAGGGGATGAGGGGAGGAGGGCGTATGTCTAGAGTGTGTTCCGGAATGTAAGGGTTTGAGGACAAGTGGTAGGCGTCTCGCTCTCTCTCTCTCTCTCTCTCTCTCTCTCTCTCTCTCTCTCTCTCTCTGTACTCTCTCTCTTCCTCTCTCTCTCTCTCTCTCTCTCTCTCTCTCTCTCTCTCTCTCTCTCTCTTTCTTACATATGTACTATAAAGCTGTCCAAACACAGGATCTCCCGAATGTGTGTCACTGCGCTCAGTTCAGGAACTTCTCCGATGAACCCGAGATTTGCCTTCAGAAAAAATATAGTAAATGAAAAAAAATCGTTAGTGCCGCTTTTTTTTCCCCTTATCCCTTTCATGTGGCCAATAAGTAGTGTTGAACCCGATATCTCACCCACCCCAAAAGACTCCACCCCCATCCCAACACCCCCCTCGCGGAATGATCTTTTGTATCCAGTGAGGTGTTAAAATCCATTTTTTTAAAGACTATGAAAAGAAAAAAAAATGCCATCCTCCACAGAAAAGCCTAACTCCTTGCCACTCAAGTTCTTTTTCCTTGCATAACAGGTTTGTGGGCCTCTTTCAAGAATGTTTCAAGTTACTTTTTCTTTGCTCTACTTGTGAGCTCAGAATTTGTTTTCAACACTTCACTTTCCGAAATGAAAGAGCAAGTGAAGAAAACTGGTGAATTCTGTCTTTTTTTCCTTGGATTAAAGTTGTCATTTTAAACAGACCTTTATCTTCAGCAAGCTGTTCAACTACTGATCATAGCCCAAAAAGCACCATTTTTCGTAAAAGAAAAAGAACTTTTCCATTCTTTTAACAGTTGTGCCTATCCTATGTATCTTTTCTCGCTTTATCTCGACAGTTAGAATCTCAAATTTGACAAAACATTTTTCGAACATGTTCAACCAATACTATAAATCAATAAATTAAAATTTAATTTTCTCTCTTTTTAAATTGTAGGCTTGGTAAAAATAAAGGGTTTATGAACAGTATTGTTGTTGCTTTGGTACCACCGGAGACCCTAACTCTGGTTCTTTCGATTTTGTTCATGTCGACGAAACCTTACAAAGACTGTTGCTTTACAGGGGCCATGTTGTCAATTATAGATGGACACCGTTGTTGTTTTCTCACAAAACGTATTTTGAAAAATAAAAGATCTCACAGACCTTTTTTCGGGTTTGAGTTTTGAGTATGCTTCTGATAAGAATTTTTTCAATGTGAAAACAGCAAGGTTTGTGGAGTTTTGTGTTGATAATCTTAGAACTGCTTTGCAAGATGCATTACGGTATTACAATATTCGCCTAGTTTTCAGAGAAATGCATTATGGGTAGCAATATTTACGGATTGTTAGCATTCCTTGGAGGAAACAAATGAAGGAGAGAAGGGAGAGAAAGGGGGAAATAGAGAATAGATGGAGAGAGATAGTAATAGTGAGGGGTGAAGTGTAGAAAAAGAGAGCGACAAAGACAAAGGGGAGAGAGAGAGAGAGAGAGAGAGAGAGAGAGAGAGAGAGAGAGAGAGAGAGAGAGAGAGAGAGAGAGAGACAGAGACAGAGATAATGAGAATGCGAACCTGAGAGTAACAAATAGACCGACGGAGAAACAGACAGAAAGACAGCGATAGTGCGAACGAAGGAGGGAAAGAAAAAAGCGGGAGATAGAGAGACAAAGAGAGAGAGGGAGAGACAGAGACAGAGATTATAAGAGAGCAAACGTCAGAGCAGTAAATAGACCGACAGACAGACAGAAAGACAGACAGAGATGGTTTGAGCGAACATAAGAGAGATAAAGATAAAGAGAGCTAGAGAGAGAGAGAGAGAGAGAGAGAGAGAGACAGACAGACAGACAGACAGACAGACAGACAGACAGACAGACAGACAGACAGACAGACAGACAGACAGACAGACAGACAGACAGACAGACAGACAGACGGACAGACAGACAGACAGACAGACAAACAGACAAAGAAGAGGGGAGAGAATCAGAGACAGAGAGACAGCTACAACGGGACAAAGAGAGAGAGAGAGAGAGAGAGAGAGGGGGGGGAGGGGGAAAGCGGGAGAGGGAGATAATAAGGGTGCGAACGTGAAGGTAGCAAATAGACCGACAGAAAAACAGACATAAAGACAGAGAGAGAGACAGAGTCGATGCGAACGAAAGAGAGAGAGAGAGAGAGAGAGAGAGAGAGAGAGAGAGAGAGAGAGGGAGGGAGGAGTGACAGGGAAAGACGAATAGACAGACAGGCAAACAAGTTTTGCCCTTGGCTTTGCTCGTATGAGAGAAAAATGGAAAATTGAATAGAGAAAATTATAAATCATTCTGCAGGAATACAGACAGACTGACAGACAGACAGACAAACCAATAGGCAAACAGATACTGAGACTGAACTTGTGTGAGTGTGTGTGTGTGTGTGAGAGAGAGAGAGAGAGAGAGAGAGAGAGAGAGAGAGAGAGAGAGGGGGGGGGAGAGAAAGAGAGAGAGAGAGAAAGGGAGAGTGAGAGAGAGAGAATGAGAGAGAGAGAGAAATCGACTCACATGCCGAAGAGTTCCTGGCTTTGCTCATGGGTTAGAAAAATGTAGAATTGAATAGCAAAAAAAAAAAGAGGAGACGTTTCAACGGAAATGCAGACGTTTTTGATTTTAAAAAATAATTATGTTCTTTGCAGCTGGCAGATGTCGACGTAATATTTTTTTCCTTCTTTCAAAAATGAAATTTACCTTTCTGCTCACGATCGAATTTATATCTCATAATCTTTTCAATTAGGAGACGGAATCTGTAAATCCAATCTCTGTCTTCCATAGAACAGAGCCACATGGTCCAAAAGCTTTGAAAACTCTTCAAACTCACAAAATTTTAATTACCCCCCCCCAAAAAAAAACCTAAAAAAACCACACAGTCAACCCCCCCCCTCCAACCCTCCCACCCCACCTATAAGGGATTAAAGAAAGAGTCACCTGAACCATAAATGTAGCCCGGCATGCTCTATAGTGCAGATATGTTATTTTTCAAAGGCCAAAGGCCTTTATGCCAATAAATATCATTACTCAATATATGTACCTAAACATATCCTGTAACTTTTACCCTTATAATTTTGTACCAACGCGGTGGTATCAGACTCTATTCAATTTTTGGGCATATGGAGTAATTGGTATAATCTTTAATCTTGTTCACTTGTCTTGTTTTTAAAGAAAAAAATACTCATCTATCTTGAATAGAAATTGGAATAGTTACGATTGAAGGGGGTGGGGATTTCCTGCGTGATATCAAAGGTAACATTAGCGAGAAAATAGCCGTCAAGTTTGATGACTTCCAAAGTTATAGTGTCCTTCGAAAGTGTTAAGTTACATTTCTGTGCCTTTGATCAACGTTCCTCAGTAAAATCAGAACTTAAATGTGTTTTAAATGGATATAAAAGCTATTGAGCCCCCCCCCCCCCCCTTCCCTACCATAGAAAAGAAAACTCGATAAGAAAAATACTGCCAAAAATGCGGCTGAAAAATGTCGGTTTCTTTGATTTAACTGCTGTTCCACTTTCCAGCTGACGGGTTGCCACTCGTACGCCACATTCTCTCTGGCGCCTTTTCTCTGTACTCACTACACCAGCTACTGTCTCTTTCTCTGTCACACCTATCTGTCGACGAAAGTGGAGCACCAACTCCCAAAGTACACAGCGTGCCCTTGAAAGGACCTATGTGCACAGCCTTATATTATGAATAAAAACGAAAAAAAAATAGAAACAATTTGAAAGGGTTTATAGATGCAATACATCTTTTTTTAATAATACTTTTTTTGGGCTGTTTCTTTCTATATTGCTTGATGGCAATTATATTGGTTCGATAACGATGAATATGATTTTCTTTTCTTTACGTTATTCCTATGTTTGTGGAGGTTTTCGTTTCATTTAATCTTGGCTGTTGTTTAGTAAGTTAGATCGTGAAACTCCATCAAAAAATATAAATCTTAGGTCATCACCCAATACCCGCTCCTTTCCTAACCCCATTTTTGTCTGCGTCCTCGGAACAAAGAGAACACTGGGATAATATTAATATGACACTTTTGTGAACATTTATGTTGCAAACAGTTCTTATTATATACAGACTCCATCCCATTTCCTTGATCGTATAATAGAAAGACGTTCATCATCCTTCCTGTGTACGTTTGCATTATATTAAAACGGCTCCGAGGTGTAAATACATGGCCCCTGTGCTACATTGTTTTCCGTGCTGATATTGAATTTCTATGTAAATATCTTGTTTATTGCACTGGAAAGGAAATGAGATGAGCCACAGCTCTCAAGGGACGCTGAGGGGATAAACAGCTTTGTCTGTTTGATGCCTTTAGACATGAAAAAAATGTTTTAAACGGATAATGAAAACAAAGAAGACAGCGTGACAACATCAACAGCAATGACAAAAAAGAGCAGCGATAGCAATATTGATTTTAAAAAATGATAATAACTAGTAGTCTAGATGATAATGACGATGATGATAATGTACTTAATCCCTCTTGACTTTGCATCTTATCAGGAATGGGTGGACGAGTTCATGGTGTGGGATCCCCAGCGGTTCAACAACATCACAAAGCTGCGTATACCTTGCCACAAGCTCTGGCTGCCCGACATGGTCCTGTACAACAAGTAAGTTGTCGATGGTAGCTTTTGTTTGAAAGACTTTCAAGTTTTAGTTTGCTGTTATAGGCAATACACAACAGGAAACGTGTAGGTGCACAGATCACTGGAAGACAGGCTTCTTCTTCTTTGTTTTCGGTTGTCCATTGATATCGCTGATGACTACAGCAGTGTGTATAATACAACTTTACCTAGATGGTAGACATAAAGGAAGTAGATTACCCATGTACTACTCCCCTCCCTTCAGATTTTGACTTCTTTGATATGCTTCAAAGGAGAGACGTAGTCAATAGGATTGGAATCAAGGAAGGTGTAAGTTCTGGGGAAGACGATAAACAACCCAACAAACAGTAAACGCCAGCTACTAATGGACTATTTCTTCATACTTCTGTAAATGGTCATCTCTGTTCCAAGTCAGGTATGGGGTGCACATGTAGACTTATTTTTTTCACTTAATAATTTTGCTTCGTGCTATTCAGTACGGTTTATCATTTTTTGCTGGGGGGGGGGGGGGGTTCTTCTTTTTTTTCGTTTTAATCTGTTTTGAGATTGCCAAGACAGTCCATTCTCTTTGACGTCCCTTTGACGTCCTTCATCCCAACTGTCATCGCACTCCTTCGACCGCTGTCGTCACTCTGGCTTTTATCCTGAACGGACATGACATCTACCAATGGAGTATTGCCGGACCACTGGTCCAGAATCAAAAGGCTCCATCTGCAACATGTTAACAATAACGCGCAATAACTTCTAGCACACGGAACCTTTTATCTCTGAGCTCGTTTTCATCTGGTCTAATAAGTTGGTTCAGAATCAAAACGGGTCATCAACAACCATCATAACGTACAGCAGGTGGCACGCTTTCGCTTAGAACCTGTGGTGTGGAGGGGAAAGAAAAAACTGTGAGGACGGCAATAATTTGTTCCTTGTTTATCACGTTGACTGCTCTCCCTGTCTGGCCAGTCCTCCGATTTTGTTTTTTATCCGTATTGATCTTAGCGGCAGCGTCTATCACTGTGTGAAGCGCTATGAGGCCCTGACGGTCAACCCCACAGACGTGGGAGGATGGACAGTGTACGCACTGGCAGCTTGATTATGTCTCTTTTTGTTGATAGTAAGGTGTGGTCATCCGGCGTAGGATTATTTCCCGACCCCGATTTCTGTATTTCTATGTTTCGCTATTCTTTTTGTCGTGTCGGTCAACCGGCCTGCAGAGCGTATCTCCTCTGCCGTCTTTGAGGCGTCCTCTAGATCTCTTTCCTCTACGAGGGTTTGCATTCAATACACAATGTTGTCCTATTGATAGGTACTGTTAAAATAATTTAAGAAATATTTTTTTTAAGATACTTAATAAGAACTATTAAATTTTCCAGTCTGGCCATTCCCCATTTACTATTCACACTGAAATATGAATTTCTCCATGATTGTTACACTGAGTTTTGTCTCAGTTAATATTGTGTTAAACTATGGTGCGGATGGCCAAAGTTTAAATTCCATTGAGGAGTTCTCAAATATAGGGAACATCCAAAGCTCTCTGCATTTTTGGGACCGTTTCTATCTCGGGCGGAAGTTACATTCGGAGCACCCACTTTGCACAGAACCTTACAGTTTTAAAAGGGGTGTACATCCATTATCAAATAATAAAAGAACAATCAGAGTTTGATTGTTTGGCAATAATCCGATGTTGGTTATAAATTTTTATCAAAGAGCTGTTGTTTTATGGTATTGATGACTATGAATACTACTATTTCAAGCAGTTTTCTACAATTCCAGACGTCAAGTCTTAATCCCAAGCTTCCTCCATTTATGACAAGTTCTCTTACGTTAACGCAGAGTACCTCAAGCTGCTTTAATAACTTATTTCCAAAATTCCATCAAAACATCTTTTACGTTTCTTTCCGTTGTGCAAGTAAACTGAAGTTGATCTAGGTTGTCAGTGATACAATCGAGAAAGCCAAAAACATCGATCTATTAAGGAATGAATCGACAACAGGTGTAAGGAAACTGGATATTGATCGTTTAACTTTTAAAAAATAAAAATGTGATTACTTCCAATGCTTTCTAGAAAATTAGTGTGGACTCAGTTCGTAGAGGCAGGTTAAACTGACAGTGAATATTAGGCACATTGGATCCCCTCAAGATTTATTATTGTACCTTTCATTACATCTCTAACGCTTTTCTCCCTAATGGAATAACTAACTTATTACATTTTACTCATTATTGTCACTATATTTCTTTACCCACTTTATCTCTCCGTCTGTGCATCTGTTTACAATCATCTTTGGATGCTATTATCATCATCACCCCGTGCCTTGCCGACTGGCGTGGGCGATCATGGACCTCCACTTCCATCTGTCTTTCGAAGCAGCAATGGTGTCTGTTGTTCTTGCTGCTCCCAGCCATGTTGTCATCTTGTCCAGTATCTTTTCCCTCTGTCTGCCTCTACCTCTCTTTCCATCAAACTTTCCTGTTGTTACAATGTTCTCTAATGCTTCTTTCCGCATTGTGTGTCCGAAAAATGCTTTTATAGCTTCTCAAAATTATGCCCTCCTTCCTACTTCTGAGGCCACGTCCGTAGGCTTATATCGTTCATAGCGCAGGGTCATCTACATTGACCACCGGAAGTCATGACTGAGCGGGCAGGCGAGCGATCATCGAGTTAGCGGAAGCGCTAACGAGAGAAGATCCGTTTTGAATACTTAGAATGTGGGGCAAGCGAAACGTTTCTTTGCCGAGCCCTTTCAGGTAGCTATTTTTGGGGAGGTTAGCTCTTTCCCAGACACGAGAAACAAAGAGAATTGAACGAGGGAAAGTCTAAAACGACTCACGGGGAGGACGAGATAAAGGGACAACTGAAACAGTCAATAGTGTGAAGGCGGGAGGCTGTGAAGAAATAATTTGATCCAGGAATGAGCATAAGAGAAGGGAGAGAAGTAGATACAAGAGAGGAGGAGCAGGCCTGGGGAAAGGGGGGGGGGTAAAAGAAAATCGAAATGATGGTTTAAAAAGAACACCGTTTTACACTTTTCTAAATTCAGAAATATCCATCTTTCTACTGAATTATGAACGGTTAGTCAGCGTTTTTATTTAATATAATGTAGATCTAAAGCTGGGATGTGCGTTCATTATCAAACAAATTTAGCAAAGCTCCTGAAGAGACTTACAATGGATTCTCTTGAAAAGTGGTCATAGACAGCATAAAACTTTGAAAGGTCCCCACTCGACGCCTTGTGGATATAAATAGTAACGTCGCACCAAAAAGTAGCTCAACTCCTCGGCGAGCACAGTATCTGGTGTAGTGTGGCATATTTCCTACGTTTTTCATGTCATCAAGAAGGTTTGCCTCTAAAATACAATTTAACTGTCTAAAAAAGCGTTAAATCCACACTATAGTTTATCATATCATTCACTGCCTAGCCATGACCGAAGGGTATGGTCCAGAAAAATACGACCCCCCCCCCCCACACCCAACCCTTACTGTTCCTGTAAACCCTGGGGTGTGGGTGGTTGGCGGGTGCTCTGGTACGGTTTGCTTCTTCTTTCCTATCAAACATATATCGTCCTTATCTCCCCTTCTTCTTTTTTATGTTTGTTACTCTCTTGTAACACTTCTAATCTCCTGGCGCTCATATGACCGTATGCAGTTGCAAGCGCCATAAAACCTCTTCTAAACTAAAAACCCTGGGGTGCGCGTTCATATGACCTTATGCAGTTGAAAGCTCTTGTAACTCTTATAGCAACAACAAAAAACCACAAACAACAAAGACCAACTCTGCAATGTGAATGGGGCCCACCTTCAGAAATATAATAATATGTCTCGGAGAACGTTAGAGAGTTAATATTTTCACAGAGGCAATCAGAAACAAAACAAACGCCAACCGAACCTTTAAACTCTTTTTCCAGCGCTGCTGAATACACGGACGGTCTCATGCCAGCCAATGCTATGGTAGAGCCCAACGGTAAAGTGTTTTGGCCCGTTCCTACAAAACTGCAGAGTTCCTGCAAGGTTGACGTGACCTATTTCCCGTTCGACAGCCAAGAGTGTTCCCTCAAGTTTGGCTCGTGGACATACGATGGCTACCAGGTGGACATAACAAACAGGACTTCTGAGGTGAGTGCTCTCTTGTTTTGTATTACTTACGTGAAGTAACATATTGGGGATAAAGAGGTGAGCTCTCTAAAAGCCTGCTTTTTTTTTTTAAAGGGCGGAATTTGTATAGGTTTCACACACCTCGTATTTTCTTAAAACCAGGTTTAGACAGTTTGCCCAACACAAAATTAGTCTGTTTCGTCTTCTACACGAAATGAAATCAATATTTTCAGACTGAAATCAGGAATACTGGCTGCTTTTTATGAAAATTGGAGCAATAATTTGAGGTAGCATTCTTGAACTCTGGTTGTTTCAGTTCTCGTGGTTTGAACCTCTTATCTTGAGCTCTCCTGAAGTTTGAATTTAAATTCCGTGTCCCAGATTCTTATAAATATTCTTAGAATATTGTTTCGGAAAATAAACTGGCACCATCCTTTAGGTGCTGGAAAGGTGAACAAGTGGGTTAACGGCTCACTACTAGTAAGTAGAAAACCGTGCATCTATGCCCCCAGATGAACAATATTTCTTTCTAATTTTAGATACTTGTTTAGCGTGACAAACTCACTGACATAATAGAGACCGTAGGGCTGGCGAAAGTAAAATCATCATCATTATCATCATCATCAGCAGCAGCAGCATCATCCGGTGCTTTGTAAACTGGCATAGTAAGTAGGTAGACACCCTTCAACTATGTTCTTCGATCTTCGTTACCATCACAGCTTGGTAAATGGCTTCGACTCCAAAAACAACTACATGTAGTTATGCCTAACAGGCATTCAACCCATCCGACCACCGACTGTAGGGTAGCAAATTGGGCGCTTTGTAGAAGACCCGAGTTCGATTCCTGTGTGAAGAGAACATAATAATATGAGTCTTTCTAAGTTGTTGTATCCCGCTCAGCCCGGGATGGCCCGGGCAGAAAGGGTCGACGCCTGCCCCCTAAATCATCTAATTGTGACAATGGGAGCGAAAAACACCATCATCGAAAAGTCAACTCATACAATACCCACAATCCGTACAACAACTTTTGTTACAACCTTCCCATGTCAATCTTTGGTTGGAGAGAGGGATGCTCAAAAACTACGGCAACGTCATGCGTGTCTTCGTAATACAAGAATGCTTTTATGTTTCTCTATTGGAAAGACAGGGTGCAGGGAACTCTTGGTTTTATTTTATTTGAGCAGAAGAGGGATTTGTAAGAATGAGATGGGTGGCTATTTTTAACCAATCTATTTTTATTTTACTTTCTGATTATTAAAGAGGCAAAACGTACGATTTTCATTTGCCTTCAGGAGATGAATCTTGTCGTCCCAAAATACCAGTGTTACATAGGTGCTCTCAATCAAAACGTGTTTTATTTCATAACATCCTTTTTCTATCCCCGCACAGGTTGATCTCAGCAACTACATCGTGAACGGGGAGTGGGAGCTTATACGTGTCCGATTTATAAGAAACGTTGTGAGATACTCTTGCTGTCCCGAGCCATTTCCTGACGTCACCTTCTATATCAAGGTAAGTTACGACATGCCGTCGGTTTTCGTCTCTAAACATGTTTCCGCCGAATTATGCCTACCATTGTTATTATGTCTCAGATCATGGTATCCACAACCGTAGCTACCATTGAAGGTACGATAATAAGTAAAGATAAACATCCTATACAATATTTTTAGCAATTTTGGATGATACAAAGAAGAAGATACATCTTTGCCCCAAAACGGGTTTAACCTAATTTGACAGGTACACTGTTAGAGTCACAGAAACCGATTATAAACGTTACCAGATATTTGCTCAAGGGGGGCCACAGCAAAGAAGAAATGTCTGCTTGACCAACAACAGGAAGTGCAACTCCCTCGCTGCTAGGGCGCCACTCATACACATCCGTCTTTCTGGTGTTCGGGAGTAATTTTTCACTGAATGAACAATATCTACTTCTGACTCTCGTTTGTCAGAATAATTTACGAAGGGTACTACTTCAAACAAAAACTGTTCTCGCCCAGTACGAGCTCTTTGCCTGCTTTATTGATTACTCGAAAGCTTTCAACAGAATCCATCATATTAGGCTGATTGAGTGTTTGGAGAAGTTAGGTATTGATGGCAAAGATATCAGAACTAGTGGAAGTCCCTACAGGCAGCATGAAGCAGCAGTTAACATAAGTAGCAATCTATCGATGATATCGAAATTCATAGAGGAGTGAGACAAGATTATTTTTAAGGAGTTATTACTGGGAGTCGCAGCATTAATAACTTGAGATAAACAGGTGATACAGTCCTGCTTGCAAACAAAATAATAAAAACACTCCTAATATTTTCAAGCAAGAGTCCACAGTAGTAAGACAAACCTTGGATTGAACGCAAAGAAGAAAAAAACAATTCTACTTATAATGAAGGAATTGGTTGAATGTTACATGTATCTCATTTACGTATACTGGCACTGAGGTCAGTCCTCGGTCAGAAAAGAGAAGAAAACAAAAATAATATCTACGCTTGAGATATGACGCTACCGCAAAATGGCTAGAATTAGTTGAAAAGCAATAAAGACAAATTATAACTAGGAGTGCCAGGTTTCCAAAACAACATAAAATCTGTTTAACACAATAAAAAGGGGGGGGGGAGAAAACACTATGGTTGTATAAAGCAACCAACCACTATGGGGGAAACATTCGAAGGCAAAATGTCGCGCACAAGGGCTATGGGTAGACAACGCTTTAGCATGGAGACCTCGCATCGGTGGAGACCTCGCATCGGTGAGGGGGCTCTGTGCGTCAGAAAAGCTGTAGAGAGGAAGAGCCCGAAACAGCGACGCATTTTCTCCTGATGATCTCCATGCTAGAGTCCAGGATACGGGGCGTTCGGCTGTGAGCAGTGCATATTATGGCTGTTTTAGACTACGTTGACAGCGCTGACTATGACAAAATGCACGAAAGCAGCTGGTGACCGTAAAAAGTGGTGGGTCATTACAGGTCAACCTCTTAGCCAGAGATGACACTTTCAGAAATCAGGCTTGCAGGAAAACCTCTAAAGCCCCTGGGCTCATCTTTTGCATCCAAATGAGCCTTTTTTAATTTGAAATGCCTTATACAGAAATATTGCCTACTTCCAATGTCTTCGAGCCCTTTCTAGGTTGCCTACCGGAATGTGGTTAATTTCACAGGTAGTCGGGGGATAATCGTTAGGTATAATCCACCCTTTCGATTCACGATCGGAACATACATACGTACACATACGAATACATACTCAAAACTACACACACACACGCACACACGCACACACGCACACACGCACACACACGCACACACACACACACACTCACACCACACACACACACACGCACACACACACATATACACACACATACACACGTACATCTCTCTCTCTCTCTCTCTCTCTCTCTCTCTCTCTCTCTCTCTGTGTGTGTGTGTGTGTGTGTGTGTGTGTGTGTGTGTGTATGTGCGTGTGTGTGTGTTGCCTCCCCTCTCCTTTTTCTGGGGTTGTTTTTTTGTATATCTTGTAAATACCAACTGTGAAGAAAACCCTTGAACGAAAAGCTGCTTTCTTCTTAAGATGCCCATCAAGCCATTTTTCATTTTTTAAAGCCTGTTCTGTTCTACAAACAAATAATAAAAATATAAAAGACAACCCTCTTCTAGTGGGTGATTGGCGGGTGCTCTGGTGTGGTTTGCTTCTTCTTTCCTATCAAACATCTATCGTCCTTATCTCCACTTCGTCTGTTTTATGTTTGTTACTCTCTTGTAACACCTCTAATCTTCTGGTGCTCATATGACCGTATGCAGTTGCGAGCGCCATAAAACCTCTATTTAAAACAAAACAACCCGCTTCTTCTTCTTCTTCTTCTTCTTCTTCTTCTTCTTCTTCTTCTTCTTCTTCTTCTTCTTCTTCTTCTTCTTCTTCTTCTTCTTCTTCTTCTTCTTCTTCTTCTTCTTCTTCTTCTTCTTCTTCTTCTTCTTCTTCTTCTTCTTCTTCTCCTCCTCCTCCTCCTCCTCCTCCTCCTCCTCCTCCTCCTCCTCCTCCTCCTCCTCCTCATCCTCCTCCTCCTCCTCCTCCTCCTTCTTCTTCTTCTTCTTTTTCTTCTTCTTCTTCTTCTTCTTCTTCTTCTCCTGACCTCCATTCCTTAGAAAGACCGCAATGCACTAACTGTGGACAGCGAGAGTCGGTCAGCTCAAGGAAGAGCCTGTTAAAAGGAACTTTGAGGACGTACTTTCTTGTCAGCCGAAAAACTGTGAGCACTTGGGCGGATCTGGCAACCGATACCGCACTGTGATCTCTGCCTTGATCCCACTTCTGTACTCAAATAACCTAAGTAAGAGAGACAGGAAAAAGTCCTACCGCCCTTGATATTTGATTTCGACCCTTATAAGTAGATGGGGTATTCCCTGAAAGAAGTGTCGCGTTTTCTTTTTTCAGTTGCCGATGAAGTCCACATTGCGGAGCAAGATTAAAACCACACCAAAAACGGCTATTTCAAAAGAAGAGAACGTGCAAAAATCGGATCGTTTAAATGTATTAATGTTCGAGAGAGAAGTGTCTCGTCGACGCCCAGCGAAATAAATGTTAATCCTTTAGTCCAGTACCATACTACGACAAATTGACCAACTGTTTTGTCTTTGAGTTGTGAATATTGAAAATAACAAAAGCCTACCACGCCAACCCGGCACAACTGTGTATAATAGTCACGCTTCTACTAACATTGTCTACAACTCTTAGATCAAATAGTTGGCCAACTGTTTTGTCGTAACACGAGATACAAAGCTAACGGGTGGAATTAAGAACTTAGAAGGAAAGCGAGTGGGGTGGAAAGATGGTGGGAGGGGGGGGGGTCGGATAGTAATCCGGCACCATTCCGATTTTACCGATTGGCGCAAGAAGCCATTTTGGCTCGATTTTTTCTGGTTCTCGACACTTTTAGCTCTGTGATATTTTATTTCTCTGGGCTGTTCTTTAATGGAAAGAAGAAGAAGAAGAAAAAGAAGAAGAAGAAGAAGAAGAAGAAGAAGAAGAAGAAGAAGAAGAAGAAGAAAAAGAAGAAGAAATTTCGCTCTTTTGTTTCGTAGAAGTCCTGCAATTCTTAAGGATTTCGGGAACTCAACACGGCCCTCCGGTGAGAGTAGATTATAACGTCAAGATGAACGAGAAACATTCAGCCCTTTCCACCCAATCCAAGCCCGAGCACGCACACAGTAGACCTAATTCCCAAGAGAAGACACACCCTGACAAAAGCGTAAGGGGCAGTGCAGACACCAAAATGTGTGACAGCGCACACCTACTCCAAATCCTGCAGTTTGAATTTATCACCTAAACCAAGCCGGGCTCATGAATATTAATACGGTTGTGTAAAGGTTTTGACACACCACAACTTCCATGCACATTAAACAGGAGTACAGCAAAGATATAGATGCTGCGTAGTTTATAAAAGTCATTGTATAATTTGTTTTCCGCACTCTTCCAGAAAATGCGTCAAACGTAAATAATTTCTGAAGTTGCTTTGTCTGAGTAATAGTTTATGTTCTAAAAAGAGTTATTTTTACTTTTATTAGCTTAACCCCTATCTTCAGTGTGAGAGAGAAAATTGTCCTTTCTTTCTAATACTCCAAACAGCTGCGTGTTGTATAGTTATTCACACAATAAAATAATATGTCTGTGCACTTACAGAACGTGGGTATGGTTTTATTCTATTCGCTGCATTTTGGATGTGTCTGACCCTGAAGTCGCATGTGAGAGTGCATTATTATAGGTGCCTGCGTGTGTATGTCTGCGCGTCAGTTTGCGTATGTGGGAGTACGTGCATGCGCGCGCGCGTGCGTGTGTGTGTGTGTGTGTGTGTGTGTGTGTGTGTGTTTGTGTGCATGTGCTAGTGTGTGTGTCTGTGTGTGATTATGAGAGCGTAAGTATATTTGAATGGAGAGAAAGAGAGGGGGGGAGAAAAAATCTTAGGAGTGGGAGGGGGAGAAAAACAATTAAATAGATTTTTCGAAAGATAAATAAGAAGTAGAATCGCAGAAGAAATAATTCAGGACTCTATTAACCTTTACAAAATGGACGACACAAGATATTGCACAGCGTAAAGGCCTCCAACAGAACTGTACGTGGGAGGCGACTACATTATGTAAGGGTTCAGGAGGGCATCCTTCCTCACTCCCTTACCCATGGGAACAGGAATTAATTTGATGAGAAGAGATGTCTTTGGGGTGGATGGGCTGTATGATCGGGCGGCATTTTCGTAGAATATAAGTTTATTTTTTCTTTTCCTTTTCTGAATCATTATCAGCAATTTTTTTACGTTTTGTGCTCAGAGAAATAATTTTTCCTGGACCTTGATATTGGATTTCTGTCTGTCTATCTTCGATCTGTTTCTTGACCAGCTGGTAATATCTTAATTAATTCTGCGATGACAAGAGATGTAAAGTACAACGGGTTTGTTTTGTGTATTTCTAGAAATATCGGCTTTCTTTATTTAGTTTTTTTAAAGTTTTTAAGAACATGCTTGCTGGACTTTT